TATAGTAGTAGTAATAGTCATAGACATGGTAGTAATACCGATAAGATTTTTAAGAAAAATAACATCATAACAATGCGAGATCCGGTTTCCTTTTCGCCACCCTTCGCTTCCTGACACTCCTTGGCTCGGGGATGTGGGGATTCCAAGCTTCCGGCCGCGTGATGCGCGGACTTTCCGGCGGCTTGGCCTGTATATGTGCTGGGCTCTAGCATTTGTGGGGTTAGGATTTAGGTGTTGAGGTTACGGTTTAGGTAAAGTTTTTCAGCGTCTATGTTTTGGGGTTTTGGACTCAGGCATTATTTTTTTGGTTTTGGGTTTGGGGTTTAGGATTTGGAAATTTAGGTGTTGAGCTTTACGGTTTAGGGTATTAGGATTTGGTTTAAGGTCTTGGGTTCAGGGTTTAGGACCCGGGCTTGGGTTCAGGGTTCGGGGGATCTTCTTCACCGATCGGATCGTCAGGAGCATCTAAAAGGAAGTCTGAGGATGCAGGGTGGGGACTATGTGGTGGCGCAAGCGAAGTTGAAGGGTCAGCTCCTGGAATAAGCCCTGGACCCAAAACCCTGAACCCTGAGCCTCAACGCCAAACCGCAATGCGCCAAAGACCTATAAACCCTAAACCATCCTAAACCAGATCCTGTGACTCTTCGCTTATTTTTAGCTTCTGATCTCTTCGGTGTTTTACGTATTCCACATCTCAAGCCCACGGGCTCGGTTGTATCCACTGCATTGATGTGGTCTCAAAGAGAGTACGCTTTGCTGTTCCTACCTTTCGTGAGCTGTCCCTCGTTCCTTATCAGTGTTAGTGTCTGTACTTACTTGTGACTGTGAACGTTTCCAACTAGCCATGAACCTTCAAGTGTACCGCATAAACCCTCATCTAACATGACAGCGCCATACAAATCCTGGGAAAATGCAAGCTCCGAAAGGCTCCACAAACTCGTACCCCATTCACGCGTTACGAAACAGACGTCAACGAAGATCCTGTGAAGCCAGCTTCAATAAGTCATAAGCCCTATGAGAGTCATCCAAACCGCACCCTAACATCCAAAAGGGTCGAAGTACTGCCGAAATAGTAGGGTTTTCGGTCCCAGATACTATACTCCGATTTTTGGTACATAAAACTCACTATTCGGGTACTTGGACTCTCTGATAACAGACGCCCGCCAGCCAGAGGTACAGAACTCCCGGCCGTGCGGGAGACTCAGCTTTAGCCTAGTAGTAGAGTAGGTAACCTTTAACCTTTTTTGTTTAGGGTTTAGGGTTTTGGGTTTAGGGTTTAGGGAATCCCTATATAACCCAAAAGGTTAACCTTTTGTTCCCCATGATACCCGACAAGTAGGTTAGTTTGGGGGTGTAGATTGGGTACTGCCGTTTCCTCCCACTCAGTAACAGTTGACATAGACTGTTATTCTCAAATATAGGTAATTAGATCCTGAGTTAGTAACTAGCCTTATCAAGTTATAGACGGTTAACGTATGGGGGCGGGGGCGGCTGGCAGTACTCAAGGTGTAGGGCTTGAATCGTTGAGGGGATTGGGGTGCGAGCCGGAGCGCTCCTGACTGGGAATAGTCTGGGAATGCTGCGGCTCCTTCCAACAGCTGGATGAGTGTTCATATGGGGTTTACGAGAATTTAGGGTTGGGGTCTTTGTAATACGGATCCTAGAGGGTCCCCCGTTTTCGGAAACTCCCATATCAGGTCCAAGAGTAGCAATGTAGACCCTCGGCTAGTAGTAGACTCGCCTATGATTTCCTGCCAGCGGCCATCCAGGGTGTAGGACTTAGGGTTGAGGGTCTAGGAATCTGGGGTTTAGGGTCTTGGGGGACTAGGGATACATTGTAGGGTTTAGGAGTCGGTAGAGTTTAGCCATCTAAACTCTGACTCGTATAGAACCATTGTTATCTCCAAAGCACAACTCTTAATGTGCGTCCCCGGAACCCTAGATCAGAGCATTTTCTGGCATTTGGAGTTTCAGGGTTTGTTGGAGTCGGAAAGCCTGTCGTAGCATAGATGCATAGGTACATACATACATGCACGCATGCATGCATACATACGTGCATGTGGAAGATGCACCCTAAACCCTAAACCCTAAAGCCCCAAGACACTTCCGCAAGCTGCCACAGGCCCTGGGCCCTGGGTGAGCGCGCCCATTCGCCACCTGAAAGGCGAGATTTCATGAATCCCATAAGCCACAAGCCCCTTACGCCGTAAACTCTAAACCCCGAGCCCTAAGCCCCAAACCCCAAGCCGCAAAAAGCGACAAGCTAAGTTTAGGGCGGACTTGAGATTTCGGACATCAGGCTCGGGGTCAGGCTTTAGTTTGTGTTTTCGGAGTTTCCAGTACCCCCCCAAGTACCCTTTAACAGAGCCCTTAATTAAGTAACTAAGTCGTAGGTCTTTAGGGCCGCATAGAGGGTAGTTGGGGGTTGCTCCCTTAAAGGCCTTTACAGAACCCTTAAAGGAACCCCTTGAATACCCTGTAATTAAAGGAATCCCCAAGGAGCCTAAAACCCTTCAAACCCTATAAAACCCTTAGGGTTTAGGGAGCCTAAGGGCTTCCAGCTCTGATTTTAACCTGTCTATCTCCATCGTGTAGTTATCCTTCATTTGTCCCTCTAACCATCTTCGCTTCATAGCCAGATGAGCAACTCTGGCTTCACGGGCGTCCGTTTCCTTTTTATAATTAAAGGAATCCCCAAGGAGCCCTAAAACCCTTCAAACCCTACAAAACCCTCAGGGTTCAGGGAGCTTAAGGGCTTCCAGGGTTTCTGGTTTACGGCTCAAGGGTTCGGTGTTGGTTGGCTGAAACCCAAGGCGCTACTGGGTTCTTGTTAAGGAATTTAATTGAAGTTACCATAATAACGAAACTATATTTATAGGTTATTATGATAAAGAAACTATATTGTTTACTATAGGTAGCTATTATGGTAACTTAAGATAAATTCCGGAGCAAGCAGCCAGCTAAACTCGAGTTCAGGGTCCGGATTTCCGGGCTTCGGGTTTCGAGCCGGTTTGAAGGTTTTTATAGCCGGGCTTCTGGTTCGGGTTTCTTCGTAGTAGTGCCTACATCACCCCAAAGGTTGACCTGTAGCACGGTTTAGGATTTAGGGTTCAGGGTTCAGGTATTTCCGCTATGATGCGGGACAGCGTAGTTTCAGGTTCTGGCCTTCGGCGTTTCGGGTTCGACGATGGAATCTTTAAGCTTCCTAAGGGTCCTACGGCTAACAAGGCTATTTGGGCTATTGCTTGTATAAAGCCCTGTAGTACCCATGAAGTACTGTCAAACCCAAGACTCTGAAATCCGAGAAACCAGAAGCCCTTTAACCCTAAACCTGGTCAGCCATCAACCCTAGAGACCCAAACCCTCCACCTCCGCAAGCGTTATAAACCCAATCGCGCATTTTCGAGTGCCAAACACCCTAAACCTTCCAAAGCCTTATAACGCCCTACAAAACCCTCCCAAACAGGACCTTTAAGCTTCAAAAAGGGAGGGAACCGTTTAAAGCAACCCAAACCCCCTTCAAGGAACCCTTAAAGGAATCCTAAGCCTCCTTAAAGGAAGCCTTTGAAGGAACCCGAAAGCCCTGTCAAAGCTCTTAGACCAGGCTCCGGTGCTGTTGCTTTCACGCACTTCCATTCGCTGGTGCCCCAGAGAGCGTCGAGGGTTTGGGGTTTACTGTTTGGGTTTAGGCTTTGGGGAACGAGGGCTTAGAGTTCAGGGTTAGGAGTTAGGTGTCTGAGGCTTCGAGGTCAGATTTTCAAGGTTGAGGTTGCGGCCCTAACCCCTACATTCCCTAAGCCCGAAGCATTTGGGTTTGAAGAGCTTGGGGGAGTCAGGAGTCAGTGTTGCAATTTCAGAGCTGGCGGTATTGGCGGCCGCCGGGCTGGGGATCTGAGGGCTCACAAAATCATGGCTGCAACATGAGCTAAGGGCTTTGGAGTACCATGCTTTAATACTTCGTTCCTTAAAGGAGCCATTATGAAATGAAAGTGTATACCATTTTTCTCCTTGCTTACATAAAAGCCCAGAGCTGTTGCATCACATGGCATTCACATTAAGCCCGAGGGTATCATATAATCTATTACGGAATTAGTTCCCCAAAGACCATCCCTTTTATGGCTTTGGGACCCTAATTCCAGAATAGGAGTATATGTGGACCCTCTGGGTAACATGTACATGTGCAGTTACACCTTCATGTAATGTATAATGGCAGCACACCGCACTACACCACAACCAGTCTCATCACACCACAGCAGTAGGATTTGTTATTATCTTATATACACTGTATCACATTACGCTGCATTGCATGGCATTACACCACATTGCAATATCTTACATGGCACGACATTTCATCACAGCACCTTACACTGCATTACAATACCAAACAGTACAATAAAATACAGCAGGACACAGTATTACATTGCCCGTCTGTACCTCACATCACATGAACTAACTAAGGTAAGCTACATATTCATACATTCATACTTGCGCACATACGTACACGCGAGCAGACAGAGACGGACGGACAGACAGACCGACAGACCGGCACCGGCTTTTCCTGACTTCTGCACGAAGGTACGGGTCCACGGGTTCTTGACATGTTGTTTGCATGTCAGGTGGCTTGGTGTAGGATCCTTGCTACAATCCCTTTATGCTATAGACGGGCTGGTGTTCATTAATCAGGCGTCTGCTTTTGTGTGCTGCAAATACTACACATGACTCATGACATGCAGCGGGTCCCGCGCCTCAAACCTATCATCTTTTCCAGCAGTTTGGCTGCATGTGCAAGTCCATGATTGATTTTGCAGACTGTAGGATGGGTAGGGCCTATAACGTTTTGCCACGCCGGCACTTGGTTTTCTGTGTCTATAGCTGGACCGGCCAACACCCTTGATTAAGGAATATACATAAAGCCAAGACCCCCGCAATTTAAGGTACATTCTCTAATTAAGGGAAATAATTGCGCTCGCTGGCAAGGATACTAACCATCTCTCTGCAGCATGGAGAAGCCGCCCTTCATAGGCGCGTTAAGGGTTTTGGGGGTTTAATGCGGGGAATCGTGAGATCTCAGGTTGAACGAGTCAGGGTGCAAGGCTAGAAGCAAAAGTTATATCATTATGTCTTATGTGCAGGTATAGAAAGCTGCAGGCGAAAGCTATATACGTACAGTTGCTTGCAGTTTTGTGCATACATACGTACGTATTTTTACACAAGTTCATACACACTTACATTGTCATATCCCAGCACAACGCTCGAGCCAGGAGCCCCATCCATCCGGACGGTAGCAGACAATGTAGCAGAGAGGTTTTGCAAGGGGCCTTAATAATTACCTCTTCTATGTTGGTGGCTCCTCTTTGAATTATAGTATAATGGGCCCCAAAAGCCTATTTATTAAGGCCCCTATACTAGCAGGATCTCAGGGAGTGTCAGTAGACACTGTGTCGTCATACTCATTGACCAGTCAAGACATTCACACAACAGAACAAGAAGCGCAGCCATTTCCGCGATTGCTGCATGAATCGATAGCCTTGGGCAGTCTCACCCGAAGTTGCTTACGATGCAGCCGCGCACCACCCTGTCGAATTCGTGTTTGCCTCGTGTAACGAAGCAGTTGAAGGTGTAAGTTTCCGTCCTGCAACTCCCGGCACCGGTCCACTCCTGCAAACTCCGGGTACATGCTCGCATCTCCATGAACACGTTTCTGAACAAACACACCACAAACCTTAAGGGCCCATGTCCCGAAATCGTATACACTCTGACCTTAAAGTAGTCCCGCGCACTTTCTCTCTCTCTCTCTCTCTCTCTCTCTCTCTCTCTCTCTCACACACACACACCTTGGGGCACGCAAGATGCTTGTGCAGGACCTGTGTTCGTGCAAAACCCTGATGGCAGCATCGTTCTGGCCTCAGTTGACAATGTGTGTCTCCATATAGCTCAGTCTGTCATGCTGCTGCATGCGTAGATCTATATATATATATATATATATATATATATATATGCGCATATACATACATATATATATATATACACATGTATACATATATAAACAGACCTACGATGAAGGGAAGACGTGTACCGCTTCTTCTTCTATCGCCTTACACATGCCAGCGACAAGATCATCACGCCATGCCGGAATCCCGACCCCATGCGATCAGCCGCTTCTTAACCAGTCGCTCTCAAACACCCCAGGTCTTCAAGCTACCTCAACGCCGCAAGACCTAGCCCTAGGGATCAAAATAGCCCAGAAGCCTCAAATAGTATGGTCTTTGGGCCCAGAAGCCTTAATATATGAATCCTTGGATCCCTTGGGTAAAACCTAAACCCCAAACCCTCTCGATCCCATGTCCTGACTTAACCCAGAAGTGCAGGCATCGAGCCCTTGTCGAACTAGCATTTCGAATCCTGAAGCCCGTACGCCGGAAAGAGGCTTTATTTCAGCATTTAGGGTTTAGGGAAAGTTTAGGGGTTAGGTGTTTGGGGAAAGTTGAGGTTAGGGCTCAGGGAGACTTTGGGGGTTGGGGTTCTTTAGGGTTTCGGGTTTGCGTGGCTGAAACTCCAATTAAATTAACACCGCTTTGCGGTAGAGGCTGAGGCCTTCATGGCCAAATGGGATCCTTTCTGTTAGGGTGTCGTACTAGTCTAAGGACCTAAAACCCTAATTTAGAGATCTACCCATGTGTACCTTAAAAGCCCTAAACCCTCAAAGTCGAAATCCTAAATCCTAAACACCCCTTCAGCCCAAAACCCCGAACCCTATAAGCCCTAAGCCATGAACCCCCTGTGAGCCTTGAGCCCTATGCCCAATCCCAAAAGGGTCCAAAGTACCTATATAGAAAAAAATAGGGTTTCTACATCAGGAGCTATCATTATTTTAATAGGGAAGTATCCATCCCCCTTGAAGGGACCCTAAACCCCTCAAAGGAGCCTTAACAATCTGGGAAGTATCCTCCTTTACCAGGCCCAGGGGGTGCCCCCGGGCTTCAAAGAGCCCACGCCGCCGGACACACCGCGACTTGGGGCCACCCGGCAGACATTTGCGAAGAGCTGGGGATCCGATTACATGAATAGCTTAGTAGCTGAGTGGATACACATGACACTTTTTGGGATGATAATATTTACCCACTATAAAGCTGAAAGTGTACAACTTCCGGGGCTTATGAATTCAGCAACTAAGATAGTAGGTTCCTGGGATGTATAATATATGCTTAGTAACCTAGTACTTAGGTAGCTGAGCCCCCAAAAAAGGGCAAGGATTTTCTTCCCGTGTATTTAGGGTCAAGCATAAGGACCCTTTTGGGTGGTAGGGTGGGGGAGGGGGGGCCCCGGGGGGAGGGGGCCTTAATACCTGTAATCGGGGCTTGGGGTCTCTTTGGGTCGGGGGGTTCTGGGCGTGGTGGTCGATTTAGGGTTTTGGGGTTTAGGGGTGGAGGTCTCGGGTCAAGGGTTTTAGGGCCTTCAGGATTTACTCAAGGGTTCACGGGTAGTTTGTATCAGGGCTAGATGGACGGCAACTACAGATACTGGGTTTGCCTTGCTTCCATTTCCATCGGTACAAACCGATTATCAAGAGGAACGACATTGCAGAATCTACCCAAAACCCTAAAGCCCCTAAACCCTAAAGCCTGTGTTTGGGGTATGGGCTGTAGGTCGGAGGTTTATTTATGCTATAGGGTTCATGGGCTTAAGGTTGATGGAGCGGGGTTTAGAGTAGAGAACCGCTGAGGGTTACGGGTTGTGGTGACTTTATTCGATGCACTGACTCATGGGGGGAACTGTAGCCGATTCCGTCGAAAGAGCTTCTGGAGCCCCGCAACCATTACCAGTCGGTTTCAGGATTTTTCAGGCCTTGGCTTGGTCATCTTTCCTAAACCCCTATATAAACTCCTAAACCCCAAAGATCCCTACACAAATCCCATGAGCCCTAAGCTCTCCTAAACCGCCAAACCCGACACCCTAAAACCTTAAACCCTAAATCCCCAGCCCCCCAACATCCCCACGGCCTACCTCCCCGAAGCCCTTTTCTTGTTATTTGGGACCTTCGGGGATAGGGTTCGAACAATCGTAACAGAAACGCCGAGTAGCTTGAGTTGAAAAGGACGCATACAGGGAAGTAGTCAAGAACAAAGGCTGATTTTATGGTGTTCAGGAAGTATCTCAGTCTTTGAAGGTCTGGGTTGCATGTTTAGAGAAGAGAACAGTTGTTTTGGGCGCAGCAGTTTGCAGACGTTGCGTCGGATTCCCGAACCGGCATGGGAAAACACGATGGACCCTCCTAAATCCAACCCGAACCCTAGACCGATATCAAGCTCAGCTACTTAAACACGCCCAACTCAAGGTCAGCACGGACATGAACTTCAACCTGCTCAGCGTCCTGGCAAAGCTGATGCAGGATTAAACTTGGCGTTTAGGCGTTCATGGTGAAGGTTCTGGCTTTGTGTTTGTAGGGCTTACAGAGAGGCCTACACCCTAAACATCTTTAAACCCTAAACCCAACGCACCTATGGACTACTCCAAAACGGGGTGTAGTGTCGACCCTCAGTAGCCGTATGAACCCTGGGCTTCGGGTTCAGGGTTTAGGGCTCGGGGCTTTGGATCTGTGGTTTAAGCTTTAGGGTTTAGGAGTTTAGGGTGCGAAGGTTGCTAGAGGGCCAACAGAACTAGGTTGGATTTTGGTACATCTTTTATTTTCCTTATTTGGGTTTATAAGGGACCCTATATATATATATATATATATATATATATATATATATATTATATATATATATATATATATATATTTGTTTTTCTCTCAGGGTTTTTAAAGGCCAACCCAGAGAAACTTCGTTACCTGATTCTGAAATTTGGGGTTTAGGGCCGGAGGCCTAGACGCTCCAAGGAGCTCAATATCAGGGTTTAGGGTTCAGAGGCTTGAGTCAGTTAACAGGACTCTCTCCAAGGGTTCCTGAAAAGGGAAAGTGTGCTGTATGATGACCCAAGGCCGTATTCTAACTTCTGAGGCCCCTATACCAAAAAACCTTGATAAAGTGTGTAAAAGACACACTAAAAGGAACCTGCTTCGCAAAAGGCTGCAATCCCCAATAGGACGCTTTATAGACCCCCCCCCCCCCCGCCAATACTGTCTCTGAGCTGTGAAGCCTTAGTGGTTTAGGGGCGTTTAGGTTTCTGTGGCTTAGAGCCGTTTAGGTTTCTTTCAGCAGGAAGACCTTCTTAAAGGATCACGGGAATGAAAAGGAGATGATAAATCAGTGTTGCAGCTCGATTTTTTAAGTGCCATGGGACAAAGTAAACGCGCCCTACATTGCAAGGTATAGGTGCTCAATTCATAAAGGTGTCGTATCATGGTCTACGTACTGAGTGCTGTGCTGTTGAGGGAATACCCGGCATAATCCACATTGGAAATGTACCATACATGCCGTCGCGTAGGGGCACTCAAGGGAATGCAGATGTGCGTCAATCAGCAGTAGGGATGGATTCGCCGCATCTTGCCATTCAGCGATGGGTCTGATGCGACCTGCAGGGTAAGTACCAACACTCCATTTTCCTGATCCCCTCAACCCTCTCCTTATAAAGAAGCATAGATCCCAGAGTATCCACAGGTGCTGACATCGTGAAGGTGCTCGCAAGGCATGAGGCCCTCTTCCTGACCCTAATGGCCGGACTCCCAGGCAGTTTCATTGCAGTCTCTACGCGGTCCGCCGCTGCTTCCCAAACCCTGAGCCCTCGACCCCAAACCACCGTACGTTTGCGTCCTTAATAGCCGCAAAGCGTACCCCACCGCTTCAGCTGCTGACTACAAACTAACCAAACCAACCGCTGACTACGTACGAGCTACTAAGACACTACCAGTTCCTTACCAGGGAGAGGAGCTGTAAGAACGCCTTCTTGGGTCTTCTGAGGATTTATGCTTCAAACTTCCTCAACGGTTTCGCGTTGATGGTGAGAGTCTACAGTCAGAATGGGGCTCCCGTACCGAAAATCCCAGGATTCCCCAAGGTACGTATAGTAGAGCTCATACAAAGAAACGAAGCCGTGGTTTCAGGATTCAGTTTTGAGGAGCTGAATGAAGGCCAATGCCCTAAAAGTCCTGAATGTATCAATGTATAAAACCTACCGTAGTCTATCACAGTATAAGACTTAGACAACGGTGCAGAGTAGGATATTATGACATTTGCTGGTTTTCCGTGTTAGATGCTGGTCCGGGGCTCTGAAGTATTGCGGGCCTCAATGAAAGTTCTGCTGAAAGGCTTCCTAGAGCTGGGGTGTCGAGTTTGTTTTGTGTTCCAGTTTTTGGTGTGTAGGGTTTATGGCTTCGGGTGGGTTTTTTTCGGTTTAGGTACAGAAGAATGCGGAACCCTGAGCGCCAAGCCATGTACGAACGACATTATGAGCTTGTCGTGCACCGTAATTAACTTCCTCAGCTAGCCTGCGTGACACCCGAAAGTTGGGGTACCTGGGGTGTCTTAAACCTTAACCCTAACTCCTCTATATCGAGCAGGTCATGCACCTTGGTGTGGTCTCCAGCTTCCAGTACATCGAGCTCCAGTGCCGCTGAAAGCGTTTACGATATGGGATTCAGCATTCAGGTTTTATGGTAAATTCGGTGCTTGGAATTTGGGTTTACAATTTCATTGATAGGGTCCATGGGTGGCTGATGTGCACAACCTTGCACTATCCCTAAGAAAGAAGAATCCTGAATAACCCACCTTTTTGAGGACTTATATAAGGAAATCGTAATGGGGAACCCTGAAAGGGTAGGTTATTCAGGGTTAAGGTAGGGTTTAGGGGACGGTTGTTATCCTTCGGCCTGGCCGTCACGAACAGGTGAAATTGGAACTCCACAGCACTGGTCTGGATAAGGGCTTGAGTTCACACCGCTTCGTCTAGAAGGCGAAAGAATTGCCAATATTATTCCTTAGGGTTCCTTATAGTATAAAAGGTACACTCTAAAGGGGCCCAGAACCCTATCCTAATTATTCAGGCGGTTGCATCAGCAGGTACAAGGAGGATGCCGTCCTAGAGCTCATGCTGATCTACCCCGACCTAGATGAGAACAGTCCGGGAGCCCGGAGATCGAGCCGAAGGGTTTTCGTAGTGTTTAGGGCTCAGCTTTGCCGATTCAGGTGCAGGGAGTTCGTTTCGGGCTCTTTGCGCAGACTCCACCTTCGTGAGCGCTCCGATTCGTGTCAGTGGCATTGAGACATTGGTGAGTTCCATCATGCTAATGCTGTTACTCTACTGCTCCTGTTCGTGCTCCTCCACCTACTCCTACTCCTACAGTCCTACTCCTACTCCTAATCAGTTACTCCTAATCCGTCTCCGGCTCCTGACTGACTACTGCTACTGCGACTGCCACTGCCACTGCCACTCCTACTGCTTCTGCTACTGCTACTGCCTGCTCCTGCTGCTGCTGCTGCTGCAGCTTCTGCTGCCGCTGCTGCGGCTGCTGCTCCTGCTACTGCAACAACCACAGCAGCAACAACAACAACAACAACAACAACTACTCTCTCTCTCTATACTACTACTACTACTACTACTGCTACTACTACTACTATCACTACTCTGCAAGCCTGCTTCAGCAAAGTGGCACACTTGCACGAATGCACAGGCATACCCTGACCGACATAAGGCCGCATGCACAACGTACTACATGGTTCGCGGTTGATTCCCGCGCGTGGTACAAAAAGGCATGTTCTCAAGAACGGCCGTGCAGAAAACATCAGCAGGGGTGGGTTTTCAGCACATCGGGAAACGCAGGCCCATTTTAGGGGCAGGCTATTTGACTACTTTCTCGCATTGACATGGGTGATGGACGTGCAGAAAACATCGGCAGGGCTGGGTTTTCAGCACATGACATTGGGGGGCAGGCTGTTTGAGTACTTGCTCGCACCAAGTACTTGTTGCGGAATGTGGCCTTTTCGTCGTCCGGAATGCTCGCAGCCCCGTCGTGCACGCAGAAGAGTGCAGAAGTGGAGCACTGAACCCAGGTTGTGCTCAGGGTTTGGATGGAGAACGAGTCGAGCTTGGGCGTTTTGGGCTTGCAGAAGTCCAGCAGCACGTAATTATCCCCCCACCCCACCCCCAAAACCCCGAAAAAGTTCCAAAAGTGGCTGAAACTACACGCGCGGGTACGCACCGCACTCCAACTACATATGCTTAGCGTCCGCAAGCCCCAAAACCCATGAACCCAATAAGCAGCACCCAGACCCTGACACAAACTTGTAGATCTCAAGCCCTGAGCCCCGAATCACAAGCCCCTGCACCGTACACCTGAGCCCCAAAGCTTGAACCATCTTGAACCCTAAGCCCCAAACCCTGAACCCGAAACTAAACAGTCATATAGTACATCATTACTTTAAATGGCTTTGAAGCACTCGCGGAAGAGATACTTTGGAGCCAGAGTATCTACTATCCTCAGGGATTGTTAAGCCATACGGTTTCAACCCCGCTGGCCAGCCATTCGCTCGCTTCACTGGTTGGCGCTCGTTGGCGTGGGCGCTCGGACGAGGGAGGACTTGAGCATGTCTGCTTTGTAGAGGCTTAGACCCAGAGACTCCAACATCCTTACTTAAGGAAGATTCCTTAAATCATAATAGGGATCTTCCCTAAATTTGAGGAATATTCCTTAAATGGTAGTAGGGATCTTCCTTAAATTCAAAGTAGTATTCTCCTTAGTTAAGAGTTCAGGCTTCTGAGTTCAGGGTTTCGGGTTTGATGGGGTTTCCATCAGAGCACCATGTTGCATGTGGCTTTCTAGGGCTCGGAAGGAGAGTTGTCGGGGTCTCGACAGTTCATTGGGTCTCGTGCTGGTAGCTAGGTGTACAAACTCTTACAGATAAGTCCCAGGGTTTGAGGGTCCTGTCGCACCAGACTATGGTGGGTTAACCTCCAGAGGGTTCGCTCGAGGCATCTGGAAACAGGTGGCCTTACATACCCCCGCAAGGTAAAATCTTTAAGGGTTTAGGTTCTGAGGACTTTAGGGTTCAGGTGCATACGCCCCAGATTGCCGTTTTGTTGGGTGAAAAAAGGTTCCCCTGTTGTTTTTGTGTGAGTGTATCAGCTTGGGATGCTAATAATGGCCTCGCAGCCCGTTGTCAGTTTGGGAGCTTTAGGTTGTACGACGTTGTTGAACATCCAGGGGTCGCAAAAACCGACACGCCTGATTCCCGGCAATGTACTTGGAGGTTCATGGGTAGTTATAAGTGGAGTTATAAGTCCCCTAATATGGGTTATAGTCATAGTTACCCTACTTATAACTCCACTTATAACTACCAATGAACCTCCTAGTAGAGGAACCTCTTTGGAACCCTTCGAGGAACCCCTGTTGGAGCCTTCGAGGCAGTACCTTCTTTCAGGATGAGACGGCTTACTTTTGGATCTGGACTTAATCATCGGAGCAAGGAGCCTGAAAGGCCCCCTACTAATCTTGCTTTGCGGTGTCGGTGTTTAAGGGTTGGGGTATTTAGTGTCTGTGCAAACGCTAATGAAGGCCAGAACTATGTAAATCCTAGGCCATACATCACAAAACTCGGAAAAACCAAGAATGCCCAAGCCAACCTTCAAGCACCATTTCGCTGTGCCCTTCCTCCAGACCCCAAACCCTAAACTCGAGCTTTTGGGTTCAAGCTTTGTTTATGAACTCTTGAGCCACAAATCCTATAAATATTCTAAGCCCCAAACATCCCTAAACCCTATACCTTAAACCGTTAGGGCTCAACCTATAGCTACAGAGCGCTCCGTCCCAGGCGAATCGAGCTACTCCTTCGCCTTCTTCTGTTTAGGCCCCCTGGGCTGACTTAGTATTCAAGGTTCGGGGTTTACAAGGGGGTGTCTTAGTAGGATTTGTACATGTTTCAACTGGGTCTGTCTATGTTCGGTGTTTCTAGCAATTAACTTAGTTGTCTTTTTTTGGCTGATGATTATTACTGTCGGTCTCTTCGATCAGTCAGTCTGCCAGGGTTTGGGGTTTACAGGGCGGTGTCTAAGTCTAACCAAGAGGCCAAAGCAGGGGAAGCGCCCAAACCAGGCATGGCACGCTAAGGCACGGGTTAATGCTCGAACCCACGAAACCTCAAGCCCCAAGCCCAAGACCCTAAACCACAAATCCGAAAGCCCAAACCCTAGACAGTAAAACCCTAGACTTTGTACCCCAAACCCTAGACCCTAAACCTTAAACCCGAGACCTTCAACCCTAGACCCTACACCGTAGACCCTACTATGAAAGGGCTCCAGAGTTCTAGTAGGAACGTCGGGGTCTAGGGCATTTATGGCAGAGGGATCACGGCTTTTAGGGTGTGAATTGGTCTTGAGTGCTTTTGGGGTGTTCAGGGTGTTGGTGGTTTTGGGTCTTTAGGATTTGAAAGCTGTCTCGTGTTTTAAGGTTTTTTGAGTTCAGGGTTTGTGAAGTTTAGGAGTTAATACGGTTGATGATACAAAACCCACATTACCGTACGAATGATGCTAGACTACGGAAATTGTGGCATATTCCTCCTTAACGATACTGAAGGATGTATATCATTCACCTCACCTCGGGTTTCAATGTCTGTGGCTTTTTATCTTTTATCAGGGATCCGAAAAGGGCATGCGCAAAAGTATTTTATAGGGATATCCCTAATTAGAATTGGAATCCTTTAAACGGGTCTATAAGGGCTCCGATAAGGGTTCTATAAAAAGGGGCCTTAATGTTTAGAATAGGGTTTTGGGTTATAATATGCTTTAATTATCATCAGGAATCCCCCAAAGGTATTGGTGTGTTTGTTTGGTTTCGGGGTAGGGTTTAGGGTTTTGGGTGGTTTAGGGTTTGTGGGTTTTGGGGGACTCCTCGTCCTGATGAAACAGCTCTCTCTCTCTCTCTCTCTCTCTCTCTCTCTCTCTCAGTGGCTTACGGTGGATGATATAAATCCTGCATTACCTTAAGGACCCTAGACTATGGGAATTACGATATATTCCTTATTTTGGGTAATGCAGGATTTATATCATCAGCCGTAGCACCAGGATCTCCAACAGCCCCTTCTACGGTAGGGTCGTTTTCCAGGCCTCGGAACCCTACACCGCCCCATAGTACCTGTCAGCATTTTAAAGTTGCAATCCCTTGTCAGTATAGGATGTCGACTTCGCACTCAATCCCGGGAATCCTAAAACGTATGTCAGAGACGGTGTAGGTTTTAGAGTGGAGGGCTTAGGGTACAGTTTAGGGACATCAAACCGGACCAACAAACATAATGCAGGCCCTTATGTCATGTATAGAAACTCAAAAGCACCTTGCCCAGAGATTCGAATGTCCCGGAATCATTTGAACACATTTAGAACGACGGAGGAATCTGATTCAAGCTGTAATCCCTAAAAACACACACGCACCTGTAGAACAAGGCTTGATGTGCGCCTGTTTGGCTCGTCCTGTTCTTTATGCGAGGCTCGTACCGAACCTGAAAGTTGTGCCACTGAGTAAACGTTTTGCACTTAGGGTGTGTGTGTGTGTGTGTGTGTGTATGTGTGTGTGTGTGGTCTTGGTGTTCATGGTTTTGGTGCTTCGAGGGTTGAGTGGTTGAGGTGGTTTGTCTGCGGCTTAACGGGTTAGAGGATGTTGATTAAGTAGGTTTCAGCCCTGCGGCGCAAACGACTGAACTTACAATCTAGCATCCCTCAGAGGGCCCCCCCAACCTTAGGGAAGCCAACCCCATAAACCCTCTCTTCTTAGCTGCTGGGTTTAGGGCTTTAGGGTTTGGAGGGCCTTTGGGGTTCCTTTCATGGTTACTTGAAAGATCTTTGGGTTTGCGGCTGCACTTGGGAAACTTACTAAGGAGTTTGAACCCTAATGGCCCCACACCTTTAAGGGCGCAGTCACCAGCTTGAAGGGTCAATTCGGCATCCAAACCCCCAAACCCCAAAAACCTACTCCCAAACCCCAACCCCAAAACCGCCAAACCCTATACTCTCTAGACAGCTCCACTCTAAACCCGGCGTTTCGGGTGTTGTGTTTGCTTGGGGTTTGAGCTTTGCGTTCGGAGATTCTGGGTCGGGGGTTTGCAGGGTGTAGGGGTTTGGTGTTGAGGGGGGTTCGGGGTTTGGGGTTGAGGGTTTAGGCTTCAGGTTACGGTTAGGGGGTTCCAAATTTTTCGGCACGGCAATGCAGTTTAAAATTTGGGCTGTTGTACGTGAGATGTCGAGACCTTCATTCCGCCGCACGGCTTCAACATCCGGCGTTCTAGGGTTGAAGTTTCAGAGTTTCAGGAATTGGCTGGTTTTGTAACTATACTTAGGTTCTGCAGGGGTTATCTTTTTTATTTATGCATGTAGAGGTACTGCAACTCAAGGTCTAGGTATAGAGCCAAAGCATAAATCCTAGGCCCTGAACCCTCAGCCCTAATAACCCCATGCCCTATACCCTAACCCCCGCCCCCCACCCCCTCCAAAACAGCGGTATTCTTCAAGAAGTCACCTGAGTTCCGGTGCCACGGAGGTTTGCCGTGATCGCTTTGATCGGGACGTTGGGCCGGAATCTGAGCGGGGAGGTCCCAGCCTCTCTCTAGGGGCTTACTTAGACCCGATAGAACCCTCCTTTTTAGGGTTCCGATTATGATTTCCTTTTCAAACTCGTTAAAACGGTAGGTGATTCGGGGTTGAGGTAGGGGTTAGAGCTGGGAGTTTTAGGGTTTTAAATTAGGGCTTTGGGTTTAGGGTTTAGGGTGCCCGTATGGCACGTCAGTATATGCGTCTGCCGAAAAGTACCAAGATAGGAACCCAATTCAGGCCAAAGTTCATACTATTGGGCCTATGGGTAAGGTACATGGAACCTTAGGCCTTTTATTGGGTTGTGTATGTAGGGTTTGCGGGTAAGGTTGAGGGGTAAGGTTTAGGGGCTTAAACCATGTGTAGCTGCAGGGTTGAGTAAGGTTCGCGGTTTTGCGGTGCGGGCTTTAGAGGTTTCGGTTTTTGTAGAAAACCCGAATACTGAAAAAATACGGACTATTCGTGTGGGTTCCTGATTTAAGTCGCCTGCAAGAGCCATAAACCCTGAAGCTTAGGCCCCGGCAGACCCCAAAACCCTAAGCCCCTTAACCCC